TTTAGTCTCCTTAATAGCAACAAGCAATCCAAACTCAAAACATTTAATATACTCTCTTTCTCTCCATTCCTCCCTCCCTCTGTCTCTGTCTCTCTGTCTCTCTGTCTCCCCCCCCCCCCCCGCCTTCTTTCTCCTTCCCCCTCTATCTGCAATATATGGTATATTGTGCATATATGTGGGAGAGCTTGCACATAAGGATGCATGCAGAGGCCAGAGATTGTTGAGATATCTGCCTCAGTTGCTTCTCCAGGTTATTTCTGAGACAGCATCTCTCACTAAACATTTACTTCACTGTTTTGGCTACACTGGCTGGCAAATAAACCCCCAATACCTGCCTGTTTTTCTCCCATACCCCATAGCTGGGGCTTTTAGTTGTATACCTACACACCCAGCATTTCTAGGATGTTGGAGATCCGATCCAAACTCAGGCCCTCATGTTGGTTTAGCAGGTATGTTACTTTCCCAGCACTCTATTTAATTTCATGAAATTTAGCAATTGGATTCTTGGTATTATTTTCTAAACTACTGAAGTCTATTCCTGAACATCCTAGCCTAAGCTAATAACTTGAAGCCAAATGACATTTTTTCTTTAATATTTTTTCTCTTTTCTCTTTTTTGTCCTCTAACAATTTCAGAGTTATAGGTCTTACATTGAGATATGTGACCCATTTTGAGCTAACTGTTTTTTGTAGACTGAAGTAGGGATCATTTTCACTCTTTTGCATGTTGTATCTAGTCATCCCAGCACCATTGGTTACAGAGACTCTTTTTTTTTTCCTGAAGTATTTTTTTTTATATCTTTGTTAAAAATCAGGGCTGTAACTGTGTGTTCTCATACTTGTGTCCTGAATTCTATTCTGCATACCTGTTTTTGTGTCTAACTATGTTGTTTTTGTTACTTTGTTTCTATCATATAACATGAGATCATGTATAGTGTTGCCTCAAGCATTGTTTTTTTTGCTCAGTTTTGAGATATCTATGTTTTAGTATTCTTGATATTATTAGCAGATTCTTTATTTCTTCCAAATTTTCTCACAGTTTCTCATTATACAACCTGCAATGTCACTCTTGCTCCTAGATTTAAAAATAATCAATATATTCTCCTTATACCTTGTTATTGGATTGTAAGCCTATCTTCAAAGTTTAGTCTCCAACTCACACCATTTTTATTCTGTTTTCCTTTCTATAAGAAATTCAAAAACCCTATTTGAGGAGTTAGTAGTAACTGAAACATTTATACTTTATTAGAACTGGCCTATAATATTCCTAGACCCAAATAGTATAGATTATTTTAGTTGTTTTAACTACATACTTAATTTATATTGTTAATTAAATTATACTGTTGAGTGCATTTTCCAAAGAAATATTTGCATTCCCTTTTTATTCAAAGATGTGTTCTGTGCATGTGTGTTTGTGTGTGTGTGTGTGTGTGTGTGTGTGTGTGTGTGTGTGTGTGTGTGTTATCTCATACATTTCCATCTTACTGTTGACTCTAATAACAGAGAATACATATAATTTTCATTAAACATTAATGAGTCATGTAAACTTTAATTACCAAGAAGTCTCTACTTGATTTCTAAATGTACAATTAACAGATAAAATACATTTTAAAAGAAAATAATATGGACATAAAAAGAAAATATCTGCCTCTCGTCATTTCTATAAAATGATGCTTAACAATGTTTAGAGAATGAGGAATGAAATAAACACAATTATTCTGTATACATAACCTCAGATATTAACATTTTTCATTAAAATATAAAAAACAAATTAAAACACAAGTATACTTATTTGTAAAATATAATTATTGCCTGAGGAAATCATGTGTAAGGAATTTATGTGGCAGCAAATAAAATGAAGTAATAAAAGACCAGAAATGAAAGTGTCCTTTATGCCGGGCGGTGGTGGCACACGCCTTTAATCCCAGCACTTGGGAGGCAGAGGCAGGCGATTCTTTGTGAGTTCGAGGCCAGCCTGGTCTACAGAGCGAGATCCAGGAAAGGTGCAAAGCTACACAGAGAAACACTGTCTCAAAAAAACCAAAAAAAAAAAAAAAAAAAAAAAAAAAAACCAAAAAAAAGAAGAAAAGAAAATGTCCTTTGCATTATTTTCTTCTATGGCCTTCTTCTGATGCCAGCCAATCCTTAAGAAGATGGAGACATGATGAAGAAATGCTCCTTTTCATTTGCATGTCACCCAGGTTCTACAGTATTAGCATTAGAAATTCTTTTTTTTTTTTTTTGGTTTTTTCGAGACAGGGTTTCTCTGTGTAGCTTTGCGCCTTTCCTGGAACTCACTTGGTAGCCCAGGCTGGCCTCGAACTCACAAAGATCCGCCTGGCTCTGCCTCCCGAGTGCTGGGATTAAAGGCGTGCGCCACCACCCGCCCGGCTAGAAATTCTTAAATGAATATATTCACTAGCACACTGAAGCAGGAGAACATGAGATTTTAAAATTTAAAACCATCACCTCTAATATATTAAATAGCTTATCCCATAACGTACTGATTGGAGTTAAATAGATACTATGTAGAAATGTGAGGTGTTTCGATTTCGTTATGCAGTACTCTCTAATTAATGCACGCTTGAACTTTTATGAGTAACTATATTCTCTAAATGTTACAAAGCATATACCTTAATCATCAAGTAAAATAAAGGATTATGTTAAGTTGGTCCTGCTGGTGCAAGCCTGTGTACTAAGCTCTGTGGGAGGCTGAGGTTAGACTATCTTATGTTAGGGCCACTGTATAATAGTGAGTTCAGAACACGGTGGAATCGTAAAGATCATACTTTAAAGTAAAAGTAAATGAACAAAGAGGACTGGGGATATACCTGAGTGGTAGAGCATTTGCCTAGTATTGTGCATGAGGCCTGGTTCAGTCCATAGTACCATAAGTAACTTATTAACTACCTAATTAAAGAGTAAAAATTCAAACAATTATTTTAAATATATGAAAGTAAATACCTTGGAAACAAAAATTAAAATGGGAAAAGTGCTGCCTAAATTTGAATTCTCTGGATTTGAAACCAGGCAAGGTTTGGTTATACCATTCTGTGGCACTGCAGCTGACACGTAATTATTGGGCTATTGCTTATGCAGATATGTCAGGGACGAAAAGATGACTGTGTGAATCTGTCACGGGGCTAAAAGAAATAGCAAGAGTTTCAAAGGGAAATTGCAGAATTGAACAGAAAGAGCAGCGAAATGGGATTTCATTTAGCTCTGCTTCTTGAGAGGAACATTATTAGAATTAATCATAGAATGAACAGATTGGAAGTGTCTAAAAAAGCCTAACTTGGAGTTTTTTGGGAGGCAAAGAATGTGAGACAAATTCAGTTTCTTATTGTGACAGAATGACAAAGAAGCCATTCATGTCACAGATTGCGACTAGCTTGAGCTTCAGTGTGTTTTACGTTACAGTTCCCTCACTGGGAAGGTGCAAGTACCAAGGACATTGATCAGAAGTTCATTGTCATCACAGAGTACATAATGAAGAGCATTTACTTGATGTTACCAGTGTTCTGGTTGTTAAAAGGATATAAGGTAGGGAAAGATCTGAAGAAAGCGCTCCTTGGGCTTTATAAAGCTGTCAATTTAAAGTTAGCCTTTAGTATACTGAAGACACTAATCCTGAAGTAGGACAATGGAAACCTGATGCCAACATGCTAAGTAGGAAATCAGTACCTATCTAACTTATGTTTAAATAGTTCTCTTCAGTAAGACACTTGGCTTAAGTAAATTTTAGTGTATAAATAATGAAATCAATACACATATTCCAACTCTTCCACATGGCTTTGATCCAGGCAGTGTTTACGTAAGCAATGTAAAACTATGAAAAGATTGACAAAGCTGCACACAGGACAAGATGGAAGTCAATAGATCTATGACTGCGGTGTGTTAGTGGGAGTAATTTTTCTGTAAACTTTTGGAAGTCATTTTTGTAAATATGTAAGCTAAAAGGACTAATAATCAATCAGTATTCATTTGAGACCTTTGGATAATAAATCTAACATATATTTTATACTTTTGTGAGTAGCCAGATATTAAAAGTGATTAACATATATTTCAATGCCCTATACCCTCCCATCAAACTCCTTTGTATGTTCACTGTTCCTCAGCCAGTCAAGTTTGCTCTTTGCTCAGCGGCTAGTCTTTCTTGTCTGTCTCCTCATGGCTTGCTCTTCTTTGACATTCAGGACCTGGACTGACTCACTCTAACAAGTCTTAAGCACAGGCTGCATCCCCTGACTCAACTCTCATTGTTTCCTTTAGTAGTTTCATGGTGTGTATTTTCTCCTTGCACATATTTATGCACATGCTTGTTTTCATCATTAGGATATACACTCTATGAAACCAGGGCCCTTTCTGTTTTCTATCCTGTCCCTGGTAAGCATAGTAGAGATTCACATTTTCATTGTATATATTAAAATGAGAGAATGAATAAATTGTATAATTATATTTAGAATAGCTGCTTTGGAACATTCTTAAAGGGCAAAATAATTGTTTTCCTTAACATTTACTAATTATAATCTTTATATTTTGTATGACCCTTTAAAGATGATTTTAAGATTGTTTATAATATGAAAAAATATATAATTTATTTTTGCTGTATTTTAGAGAACTGGATGATCACTATTTTTAAATATTTTAATTTCCTAGGAATAATTATAAGTAAAATAAAAATAATATAAATGTAAAATATGCTTTGTGCTAGTCCCAGAGCTGTTTGTGTAGATGTTTTAAGTAGTCAGAGGACACATACAGCAGCTAAGTGCATCATTTTTTCACAATGGCTGGCTGCAGTCATGTTGCATTATTACCTTTTAGGTACCGTTGGCAGAGGTCACCTCATTAGCAGTATTCACATAACTGTTTGCACACTGCAGTTTCACCCTGTATCAAAAGTATCTAAATTTTTATATGGAATAGAAAGAACAATCACCATACTATGCCGGCTTATTTTTCATTTCACTTATTTTGGTTTTGTCATTTTTTTTTCAGAAATTGAGAAATTTCAAGGTTCAGATGGAAAAAAGGAAGACGAAGAAAAGAAATATCTTGATGTCATCAGCAACAAAAACATAAAGCTTTCTGAAAGAGTATTGATTCCTGTTAAGCAATACCCAAAGGTACTGCATGCGGCATGCACTTTGTTCTCACTGTGTTTGGACAAAAATAATAAATGTCTTGGTCTTCATTGACTCTTATGAGATAAACATGTAAGGGTTTGCTGTATGGATATATGCAAATACATGGTACTGATACAGTAAGAAAAACTGAAAGTACAGTGATAAGCATGGTTTTTAACTGAAGCCTAGTGAAATTTTATTTTGTACACGGAAAGCATAATTACACCTTTTAGTCACTTATTGAGCATGGCAGTTAATTTGTCCAGTTATGCACACCACATTATTAAGTTTTCTTTTTATTATATATATATATATATATATATTCTTATTTTAAAAGAGAATAGAAAATATACAACATTAGCTAATCACTAGAGTATTAATATATCCAGGAAACGGTGTGTTACTAGTCTCTTGGTTTTTACATTCTTGTCTTTTATAGTCAGTTTTAAAACTAATTATGGTATTGTTTCCAGTGTAATACATCTCTAAATACTCTTGTACTCATAAGTGACTGATTATAATATAATGTAGCATTCATTGACAAGGTTTCATGGGAAATATTAATTAATTTCAGTGGATGAAAAGGTTTCTATTTTGGCAAAAAATGAAAAAAATCTAAAAATAGTTCAGATAAATCAAGCTGATAATATACTTTCTAATGAGTGAATTTGAAGCAAGGACCATGTAATTATCTTAATAAATAAAGATTACAGAAGTGAATGCTATAGTTTACCAATTGCCTTTTAACGTGATAAACTGGAGTAAATATAATTAAGTCAAATGCTTTGTTTACAATCACCTAAAATATGGAAATAGCTATTATATCAACAAACCATTTAATTTAACTTTCAGATGATATTTTTAAGGTGCAAGTAAGTTTTGGTTTTATTTTATTAAACCAGACTTATTCTGTTGCAAGCAATGCATGGTCAGTAGCAATATGTTTTTGTCATAAATTTTATTTGATTTTTGTGAATATCAAATCTGACCACCATATAAAAGTGCATGAAGGGTTTTGTTGCATAGCAATTATGATAGCAATGTGGTGAACTATGGAAAAGGAATTAATAGTTTTATTAACCAATTATATTTTCAAATAGAGGGATATTTTCTTAATCTAAAGCTAAATACGGCATGACTTCACACTGTCCTTTGGGATAACACTTATCAGTCTGGTTTGTGAAACATGACAATGAACTGCTTCTCTGTAGCCTCTGGCCCAAACTCATTGACAACATGGAAGGCATTAAGAGACCTGAATGTATATACTGTTAATTGTGCATATTAATGCTGAATATGAGTCTGTAATTAATTCATAATGGCAACTATTAAAACAGGGATATTATGTAGCATTACATTTTTATGTGTGGTATATTTTCCTAATTAATTTGAAGATCTTCAAACACAAAAGTTTGGAAATTGTTTTTACTTAGATGTTTTGGAATCAGAATGCTTAAGCTAGGGCTAATGTTGGAATGCCACAGAATACGTGACATTTATGCTACAGATCAGAAAACTGGAATATTGTGGGTTTTTAAAACACTATTTTTGTTACTGATGGAGTTTTTGTTCCTTTTTTCTAGATAGTTGTATTTTTAATTTGACTGATCATGCTTATGTGTTTGTGTTAGTTCTCATGTAAAGCGTGGAAGAATTTGAAAGATGATAGCACTAATGATAATTGTGTATAAAGTAGTCTCGTGACAACTCATGCTTCAGAAAACCCTCGATATTTTTTTAAATTTTATAATTTGATTTAATTTTACATATCAGCCATGGATTCCCCTGTCCTCCCTCCTCCTTGCCCCCTCCCCCGCCCGCCCCCCAGCCCATCCCCCATTCCCATCTCCTCCAGGGCAAGGACCCTCGATCTTTTTAATTGCTAAATAGCCTGCCAGCCCTTTTAAAGTTTTTCAGTCAATTATCCATTCCATTTATTGACCACACAGATATGAACTCTAGATCCCTTTTAGAGAATACCGTGAAAGAGGCTATCTACCTAACTCTATCCTGTTTAGCCGCCTATCAACGGTAGTCTATTTGGTTTTTATAATATAACAATAAAATCAGACTTCCAAAACACAACCTGTCCTCATCATTTTCTATAATCTTTTTAAAGCTCACTATATTTATTACAATGTACTGATTCTCTATGAGTACTTATTGACACTTCTCAAAGAATGTCAGAAAAAAATTGCGTTTTTGACCATCGAACTTTAGCTGATGTACATTCATGAGCTCAGTGATCATGATAACTAAGTGTTGTAATACTGTGAAACACTGAGCAGTGACATGGATATAAAATTGAATCTTAGATATTAAAATGTGATTTATCCTTTGTGGATGGGCTCTCCAGAATGACCTGCTTTATTTACAGCTCTCTGAGACTCTTCTCTCCCCTTGATGCCTGCTGTCTGTCTGCACCAGTAATGAAGGTGTTGATGACACAGTCCTTTCAAACAAAGGGCAATAAAGAACTGTGGGAAGTCTTGGGGGAAATGACCTTATCTTGACTTTACTACATGACCTTTTTCAGATAGATTTTGTTTCAATTAGTCTCCAACTTCTGGCTAATTTGCTGACTTAGTTGAATACTACAAGGAATTGAAAGTTTAGTATCTTAAATTATTGAAACTATAAGAATGCTGTTGAAGCACTTTAATAATGACTTATCTAGCTGTAGCATTTTATTTTTATTGATTTAATTTAGGGAAAATAGGCCATGTTATCAGATAATTTTAATGGACAGTTTTTAATATTTTGGTGACAAGATTTATATATGTGTATTTAGGAATCTTTATTTTTTTGCTTAAAAAAAGGAGATTCAATGTTTGCTACATTCTCCAAAAGAATAGGTAACTGTCTGATGTTAATTTGGTTCACTGTAATAGCTACTTTTCTAAAATAATATATTTAACTTTATTTATGTGAAGGTGTCAGATCCCTTGGAACTGGAGTTACATATGGTTGTGAAGTGCTATGTGGGTGCTGGGAATTGAACCCAGGTCCTCTGGAAGAGCAGCCAGTGCTCTTAACCTCTAAGCCATCTATACAGCCTCCACTGTAATAACTACTTATTGTCTATATGTTTTCAATAACATCAGAGAACTTATTTAAAATATGAATGAGATTTCTCTCTCTCTCCCTCTGTGTGTGTGTGTGTGTGTGTGTGTGTGTGTGTGTGTCTGTGTTTGTGAGTATGTGTGCACGCACATGTGTGTGTTGGAGGATGCATATGTGTACTTGCTTGTGGAGGTCAGGAAAAACCAGGGTGTCATTCTTCAGGGGCCAACCACCATTTTGAAATAAGTATTGTATATATCTTTGCCCTTACAAGGAGAGTCAGCAATTATTTTTTTGGTATTTTGGCCTCATGAATCAGTGTCTTCCCATGGAAAAGATGCCTCATGTGGTAGTTGGAATGTAATTGGCACACATAAGTTCATAGTAAGTGGCACTGTTGGATGGTGTGGCCTAGTTGGAGGAAGCATGTCACTGTGGGGATGGGCTTTGAGGTCTCCTTTGTTCAAGCTATGCTCAGTGTGGTACACAGTTCACTTCCTGTTACCTGTGCATTAAGATATAGAACTCTCAGCTACCTCTCCAGCAGCTTGTCTACCTGTGTGCTGCCTTGCTTCCTGCAATGACAATAATGAACTAAACCTCTGAACTGTAAGCCAGCCTCAGTTAAATGTTTTGTTGTTGTTGTTTGTTTGTTTTTTTTTTTTTTTCATAAGAGTTGCTGTGGTCATGGTGTCTCTTCACAGCAATAAAAACCCTAACTAAGACACAGTCCTTAACATTAGCTTCTCATCCTGAAATCCATCTGTGCTGTATGTCACAGTTCAACACATGTGGTGATATTGTGTTCCCCAATATATTGTGCACCCTAATAAACTTATCTGGGGTCAGAAAACAGAACATCCACTAGATAGACATAGAGGCCAGAAAATGGTGGCACTCACACCTTTAATGCTATCACTTGAGAGGCAGAGAGCCATCCGGATCTCTACGAGTTCAAGGCCACAATGGAAACTGAGCCAGGCATGGTGGCACACAACTTTAATCCCAGGATTTGAGATCTGGTGTCTTGCTTGGGAAAGGCACATGCCTTTAATGCCAGGAAGTGACGACAGGAAGCAGACAGGTATATAAGGCTTGAAGACCAGGAACTAGAGACTTTTGGCAGTTAAGCTTTTAGGCTTTTAGCAGCAGCTGAGATCCATTCAGATGAGGACAAGTAAATAAAATCATAATTAAAAAACAAAGAAAAGCTTAAGAAACACTCAAACATACACATACATGCAAAAATAGAAATCATAATACACAAGCAAAGACCTGAAAGATAATGCCCAAGTTAGCAATATGAGACAAAATATGTCTACAAAAATACCATTGAGTTCATCTTTTTGGTTGAGCCTATCTTTTTACTGTGAGTTGTTTGTTATGTTTTTTTCTCTCAGTTAGTGGCAGTTTGGCATGTCTTCAAGAAAATCCCAGAGTCAGTGCTGACACACAAAGCTATTATATGTACAAGAAATAATGGGAGTAGTTTGGAGTACGAATCTCAGAGAAGCATATTATTAATTTTGGAAGACTGAAATATTACATATTTTTTGAAACACAACCAAGAATTATCTGATAGGACTTAAGAACCCAATATATATATATGTATGTATGTATGTGTGTATTGTATATATATATATACACACATATGTACATATATATGTATGTGTGTATTATATATATATATATATACACATATATAAATATCTAGAGCTTTGCTCCGTGTGATTGATCATTTTCATGTGAAAATTTCCAAGAATCTGAGTAAATGTGAGAAATGTTAGAAAATCAGACATGGATGGCTTCCATTGTGAGAGGACATTTGCTTGTTTCTAGTGCACCTTTTTGTATACCTGAGCAATTCATCCTCTCAGTGACTTTACAATCCCCTTGTTTTGTATATTTAGTACCCTTCAAAATGCATTAGACCTTTT